TTTATCACCAAACCGAACCGTTCGCAACCAATCATCGACCAAGAAGATCATTGGAAACGAGAATGTCTTGCATTCTAAAAGCTTGCAAAAAAATGCGAGGGTGTATCAATCAAGTTGAAATGAGGAATCCAAGTGGCGCTTTTGAACAAGATATCGTAAGTATTTATTGTTTTACTTGATCATTGTTTTATTAATTTAAATATAACGTATATTTTTCATAGATGAACGAAGCGAAAGATCTGTTAAAACTTGATGGATCCTATAAGAAGGGTTTTAAGTTTGATCATGTCTGGAACATCTTGAAAGACTCCGAGAGTTTATCAAATGTCACTGCATCAACTCAGTATCAACGACACAGTCCTTATCAATCACCTTCTTCCGGTCCTGGTGATTCGTCTGGGACAGATGTCGGTTTACCGTCGTTGACTATTGATGACGTAGAAGGTACTCAAAGACCAATTGGTGTGAAAAAGGCAAAATCAAAGCTACAATCTGATAATAAGCTAGAGAATTTAGTTAAGGCTAGTAAAAAAATGAAGAAACAAATGGCTAAAACCACTGAAGTTATGATACGAAGGAATGAGCTTCAAGCGTAGAAACTTGCATTAGAGGCAAGGTTGGCGGATTACAAACTTATGTGCATCGATCTAACCTCTATCACTGATCCTGTGTGGTATGAGTTCGTAAAAAATGAGAAAATTCGAATAGCGAGAGAGAGAGCGCAACCCCAGGTTCATATGTCTCGACAAGGATCAGAATTCGTAGCATCTCAATATCGAGTATCTCAACATCAACAATTTGGAGCAGCTCAAGACCAACCCGAAGGATCTCAAAACGTAGCAGGAAGCTTTAGTCARTTTATGYCTAGCGGGGACGATTGGACCCTTTAATTTATGTATTTCAGTTTTTAAAATTTCCATTAATAAAATACGTTTACGTTTATCCGGTATTATATTTGTGTTATTAATAATTTATTATATATATATATATATATATATATAAATTTAAATAATAAATAATAAATATAAAAACCTAAAACTTAATAATTGTAATTATTTATTTATTTATAATTTATTTAATAATCATTAAATATTAGAAATTAATGGTGGGGACCACCAAAAAGGCAAAATGCCGGCCTCTTCTTCCCCGGCAAATATGGCGGCCATTTTCATCGCACGGTTTCTTTTTGGTGTTTTTGCAGGTTGGTTGGAACCAAAAGAACGGCAAAACTAAGGTTTTACCGTTTGATTGGAGATGCTCTAATTAACGAATAAATCAATAAAATCAAATCTGGAAGAAGAGAACATGTTACCAAGTCGGAAGGAAAGGAAGTGTTGGGGATTTCTTTAGAAAGAAAGCACAAAGGCCTGAGGGGTGTTTGGGTTATTAAATCTGTTTTTTAATTTATTTTAGTATGACATCAGAGATAAGTTGTTTTTTTTAGTGTCTGGGTAAGGAAAAAAATTGTTTATATTGGTGTCAAATCGGTAATAAACAGTTTTTGATAAATTAATCTTTTTTTACTTATAAAAAACTGATTATTACCAGTTTACCATTTTAACCTTGTTTTATTAATGTTTGTTAATTATTAATCTTGTTAATATAAATTTTTGTCAAAAATATTATTATAAATGATGAAAAATAATTTTTTACATGTTAAAAAATCAAATAAGTTAATAATCAAAAATATTATTATATGAAAGACTGTTCTTTTTGGTCATATATAAGCAAAATTTGCCAAACACTAAAAAATAACTTATCAACTTATTACTTTTTGGTACCGCTATAAGCTAATCCAAATACTTTTTACAAAACTCCAATTTTATATCACATAAGTTAATAAGCATTTTTACAAAAAAAAGCATAAGTTGTTTTAAATAAGCAATCCCCAACACCCCCTAAATGGTCAAAAATTTAACACTCGAAGTGTCAAAACAAAAAGAATACATAACATGATAGTGTCGTTGGACACAACAACATGCCAGGTAGCCAAGGAAGAAGGGAGCCTCGGTACAATCCTGACGATTGTGTCCGGCGATAGTCACATGGGCACAA